ACATTCTCTGCATCAACGGTTATCAAACCTTTCACCCGACGCGGACTTCTCTCTACCGTCAATAGTGTTTTTGATCCCATGGGTTTGTTGGCACCCGTTACGATCCAGGGAAGAGCTCTCCTTAGGGAGCTTACTCCGGAACTGATTGACTGGGATGCACCTCTCCCTGCAGACAAGCGTAAGAAATGGGAAACATGGAGAGATTCTCTTCAAGTACTAAAGGAGCTTCATGTGCCACGCACATACACACCAACCTCACTCACCAAAGCTGTCCACACAGAGTTGTGTGTATTCTCTGATGCCTCAACCATGGCCATTGGAGCCATTGCTTACCTGAGAGCCATTCAGGAAGATGGAAAAGTGGAAGTAGGACTTGTTATGGGCAAAGCCAAATTAGCACCTCAGTCCGAACCCACAATCCCAAGGCTTGAACTATGCGCCGCTGTCCTTGCAGTAGAAATGGCAGACCTCATCCGAGAAGAGCTGGATCTGAAATTGGATGCTATCAGGTTCTACACGGACAGCAAGGTGGTGCTTGGGTACATTAATAATGTGACAAAACGTTTTTACACCTATGTCCACAACAGAGTCCAACGGATCCGACAATCCTCTGAACCAGAACAATGGCATTATGTACGCACGGACGAAACCCTTCAGATCATGCATCCAGATCTCTACCTGCGTCCCATCTTGCACAGAGTTCCTGGTTCACCGGACCTTCATTCCTGCATCAATCATCTGCAGAGACAACTCGAACAAGTGAGAAGTTTGAGCTCATCGAACCAGAAAATGACTCAGAGATTCGGCCACAGGTACATACCTACACTACTCACCTGGAGGAACCTGTGCTTGACCCTGACCGCTTTCAGCGCTTTTCCACCTTCATCTTTCTACTGCGCGCAGTAGCATTCCTTATCCATATGGCAAGATCTCACAATCATTCAAACAAAAACAGCAGGTGCTCAGGATGGCACATATGTCACTTACCTCGTACTGTGGATGAAATGGATCAAGCGAAAGATGTCATTCTGAAAGCAGCACAAAGGCCAGCCTTCGCAAAAGAACTGTCAGCCATCCAAGCAAACAAAGTGGTGCCCACATACAGCCCTTTGCATAAGCTCAGTCCAACCTTAGAGGGTAATCTCATCTGCGTTGGAGGCAGACTGAAACACTCTCAACTTACATGTGAGGAAAAGAACCCAGTAATCCTAGCCAAGGACAGCCACATCTCCCTACTGCTTGTACGACATCACCATGAGCAGGTGAGACATCAGGGCCGACATCTCACAGAAGGCGCAGTAAGGGCAGCTGGACTGTGGATTTTGGGTGGTAAGCGATTAATCAATTCTGTCCTCCACAAATGCATAATCTCGGAAGCTGCGTGGGTGACTCGGAGAACAACGTATGGCTGACCTACCGCCAGATTGTCTCAAGGTCTGTCCTCCTTTCACGTATGTTGGGCTTGATGTCTTCAGGCCTTGGTCCATTGTAACCAGGCGCACCAGAGGAGGACAGGCAGAGAGTAAACGGTGGGCGATAATGTTCAGTTGTTTGAGTTCAAGAGCTGTCCACATTGAACTGATTGAATCTATGGACGCATCCAGCTGCATAAACGCTCTCAGGCGTTTCTTCGCACTCAGAGGCCCTGCAAGACAACTCCACTCTGATTGCGGCACCAACTTCATTGGAGCTAGCAAGGAGTTGGGGATGGACAACACTGTTCAGAGGTACCTCAGCAAGCAAGGATGTAGCTGGAACTTCAGACCTCCACATGCTTCCCACATGGGAGGCTCATGGCAACGGATGATCGGTGTTGCCAGGAGAATCCTTGATGCAATGCTCTTGCAGCAAAAGAGCCGCCTAACCCACGAGGTGCTGTCAACGCTAATGGCAGAAATCACAGTTATCATCAATGCACGTCCACTCCTACCTGTGTCTACAGACCCACAACAACCTTTCATTCTTTCACCAGCCATGCTCCTCACACAGAAATCAGGAGTTCCACCTCCTCTTGGAGATTTCACGGACAAGGACCTTTACACAAAACAATGGAGGCAAGTTCAAGTTCTCGCAAACCAGTTTTGGAACCGTTGGAGCCAAGAATACTTACCAACCTTTCAACAAAGAAAAAATGGACAGCGCCACGCAGAAATTTTCAAGTGGGGGATTTGGTTCTCCTCAGGGACAAACAGACTGTCCGCAACTGCTGGCCCATGGCCATAGTCATGGCAACCTTTCCTTGGAAGGATGGACATGTGCGAAAGGTTGAGATAAAAACTACCGACCAAGGCGACACAAAAACCTTCCTCAGGCCAATTGCAGAAGTAGTTCTTCTTCTGCCTAAGGACTAATTCAAGGACTGCTGTTTTAGACTCCTTCAAGTTCATAGTGGCCTCAAATAGGCCAGACAGGGAGTGTGCTGCCTCTAAGGCATTTATGTCGTTCATCTTTATTGTTTCCTTTAAAGGAATTCATTTATATGTGTTTAAGTTATAAATAGCAGTAAAAGGGTAACATTGTTTAAGAAGATTTTATTTTGAAGGTCGGCTTGCTAGCGACATCACTTCCTTGTTTACTTTCTCTTCCTGCTTGCTCTGAGAGGCAAACTGACATGCTGTTCATGCTCTGAGGCTTATCTACAGCCATCCACTTCGAAACATTATTTGGGCTACGCCGTAAGTGCATATATTTCATGATAAAGATGTTAAAAGGCATAAATAGCGGTAATTGTTAAAAATGTATATTTCATTTGTAATTTAGAAAGGTCATTTTGTACATGTTAAAAGAGCATTCTTCAGATGATAATTACTGCTGCTCAAGGTACATACAAGATGTAAATTCATATTTTGAGTAGTTTTATAATGCAATATGTATGCATATATAGATCATTTTTCTATTTTGTATTTCTTTTAACTACAGTTTTCACCGCTGTCAAATGAAGATCCAGAGAGTAAAAGGTCAACTCTACTCGGACTCCTGTGTTCATTGACAAAGGTTTAGCTTGGTGTTTAACCAGAGTTGCTACACTCTGCAACAGAACACTATAGTGAAAAGGCGGCACTTGATGTTCCAAAGTGTTGAAGATGGCAAGCAACAAGTCGTCTGTGTCAATTGCCAAGAGCAACGCAACAGCAGCATCATCTGCAAGTGCAGCTCACGCCAGAGCTAAAGCAGAAGCCGCTAAGGTGAGAGCATCATATGCTAACCAGGAGGCTAAATTAAAATTGGAAAAGGCTGCTAGAGAAGCAGAAATGAAAACAAGAGAGGCTCAAAATCAGCTGGAAACTGCTAGAATCGAGACAGAGCTGGAAGTGCTGACATTAAATCGTGAAGCAGATGCAGCCATTGCTGAAGCACAAGTGTTGGAAGATGTAGCAGAAATGAATGGCATATTGGGAAATGCGAGACCTGAGTCAGAAGAAAGGCTTAGACTGCAACGTACTAGTGAATATGTTAACTCCCAAAATTATCAGAATCATTCTCCCTCTGCACCAGTACCGGTCCCACCTGTTATATCTCCAGACCAGGCTGAATCGCAAGTCAGCTTCAGAACATGGCATTCACCTGCAAGCATATCAGAACTCCAACTCACTGATAACAAGCCCAAGCCTGAAAGTGATGTTAAGGCACATCTACCCGCACCAAACCTGTCTGAACGGACAAGAGTTGAGCCAAAGACTGACATTAAAAGGACAAACCCTCATGCGTACATATGTGCTCAGTCACAAACACCCCAACATATGCTTCCAGCTAGCGCGTCACACTCCCCAGACCCTCTGGCACAGTATTTGGCATGACGAGATCTTGTTATGTCAGGCCTGTACCAATTTGATGATAAGTCGGAGAATTTCCGTGCATGGCAGTCCTCATTCACCAATGCAGTGGCTGAAGTCCAACTCACAGCAACACAAAAACTAGACCTCATGACCAAATGGCTAGGAAAAGAGTCTGGCGAACAAATAAGGTGCATACGTGCAGTGCATGTGAACAACGCCGATCTGGCTCTACCCAAGGCATGGGAGAGGCTGTGCGACTGCTATGCTGCTCCTGAGATAATTGAGCAGTCACTGTTCCAGAGACTAGACAGTTTTCCAAGGATTGCAGACAAAGATCACACCAAATTACGTGAACTTGGAGATTTGCTCATGGAGATACAAGGCGCTAAGGAGGATGGATATCTCACTGGGCTATTGTATTTAGACACCTCCAGAGGTATTGGACCAATAGTAGACAGGCTTCCATATAGGCTCCAGGAAAAGTGGGTGTCATCTGGGTCGTGGTACAAAGAAGAGAACAATGGTTGCTTCCCTCCCTTTAGTTTCTTCTGTAACTTTGTGTGTCATGAGGCAAAAAAACTAAATGACCCCAGCTTTATTCGTCAAAGCAGCGGCGCAAACCCCACAAAACCAGAAAGGTTACCTGTGAAGAGCTTTAACACCAACAAGTCTATCACGGTCCACAAAACAGATATCTCTACAATCAACAACGACCCTAGCAAGAACTGCCCACTGCATGACAAACCACATCCACTTAAAAAATGCAGGACATTCAGAAACAAGTCCATTGATGACAGGAAGGCCTTTCTAAAACAGAAAGGAATATGCTTCAAGTGTTGTTCTTCAACTTCCCATGTTGCCAAAGACTGCAGATCTTCTGTGAAGTGCTTTGAGTGTGAAAGCACCTACCATGATGCAGCCATGCACCCCGGCCCACAACCTCAACCTATCAAGGCTCCTCCACCGCCACGGGAGAACGGCGGGGAGGGAGAAGATGGTCCTAATGTAACTGATGTTAGAACTAGCTGCACAGAGGTTTGTGGCTCCAGTCAGTGGGGTCGGTCTTGCTCTAAGATCTGCCTAGCAATGGTCTACCCCAAAGATTCAAAGCACGAAGCCATTAAAGCTTATGTAATCTTGGATGACCAGAGCAACCGCTCTTTAGCCAGACCAGAGTTCTTTGAGCTGTTTGGTGTGAAGAATGAACCGCTCTTGTACCATCTCAGAACATGCTCCAGCATCATGGAAACGTATGGCAGGAAGGCGGAAGGATTTCAGATAGAGTCGTTGGATGGCAAAGCTCTCATCTCTCTTCCACCACTCCTTGAGTGTCCTGAAATCCCAAACAATCGCACTGAAATCCCTACACCAAGTGCAGTTTTGCATCAGCCTCATCTCCATCACATAGCCAAACACATTCCCGATCTGGACCCAGAAGCAGAGATACTCCTGCTACTCTGAAGAGATGTGCTCAGAGCACACAAGGTCAGGCAGCAAGTTAACGGCCCACATAACGCTCCGTTTGCACAACGTCTCGATCTAGGCTGGGTGGTGATAGGAGAGGTGTGCCTAGGCAATGTGCATAAACCAACGGTTGACTCATTCAAGACTCATGTACTAGATAATGGTCGCCATTCCATTTTTCAGCCTTGTACAAGTTTCATGCAGGTCAAAGAAACACAGTCGAGCTTCAGCAAGCCTAGCAAAGTGCCAGAGAAGATGCTAGGACACAGAGTATTTGACCAAACTGAACATGACAACAAACCTGCTCCATCAATAGAAGACATCCTCTTTCTGAAGATCATGGACACAAACGTCCACCAAGATGACGCCAGCAGTTGGGTTGCCCCATTGCCATTCAAAGAGCCACGCCAGCGTTTGCCAAATAACCGAGAGCACGTGGTCAAGAGGTTTGAATCCCTGCAACGTCAATTCAAGAGGAGACCTGAGATGCAGAAACAATATGTGGCATTCATGGAGAAGATCATTGCCAGTGGTCATGCAGAAGTAGCGCCACCTTTGAAGGAGGATGAGGAGTGCTGGTTTCTTCCATCATTTGGAGTATACCACCCGCAAAAGCCCAACCAAATAAGGGTAGTTTTTGATTCCAGCGCTCAGTACTCTGGTGTCTCCCTCAATGATGTGCTTCTGATGGGGCCCGACCTCAACAATTCGCTCCTGGGCGTCCTCCTACGTTTCCGGAAGGAGGGAGTAGCTATCCTTGCTGACATCCAACAAATGTTTCACTGTTTTTTGGTCCATGAAAATCACCGCAATTTCCTTCGCTTTTTGTG